AACGAGCCTGCTGCTGCTCCTCCAGGTATGCGATGCTCCCTCATATCCTGTACTATGGAATCGCTCTAAAAACCCGCATATATCCAGTCGTCGGGTCCAATACGTGGGTTTCGACCAAAGGCTCCACTCCCAACGCTTGGCAGAAAAAGGGCCCTACCATCGTTCAAGTTCCAGACAAGCTTGCGAATCAGTTCACTTCCCTTTCACTCACCGAGCTCAAGTCCACCTCTCCACCTCTCACCTCCGCTACTACGGCCTCGTCCTCGGTCTTCTCTCCCTACGAATCCGATGATGAAGATGATGAGAAGCCCTACATTGCTCGTGAACATGGCAAGTCGTCCTTTCTCCGTGTCCACTGTTCCCGAGCATTTATTGACGCAATATGCCGATTTTGATTTTAACTTATATAGCAAAAGGCGAATTCCACTTCGAACCCGTTGAAGACGACGACGAGATAGACGAGGGCTATGGCATCGGCCTAAACGCTGCGAACGTATGGGACAAAGCCGAGAGCCTCAGCGGCTGGGAAACTATGTCCAAGGCGTCGGCGCCCCCGAGCGAAGCCCCTGGCCCCTCTGGACAATCCGACTTTGGAGACACGTTTAACGAACCCGAGCCCCAACTATGCCCTGTCCATGGTCCCTTGTGCTCGAGAGGAATTTGCACAGAGTACAGGAAGAATAAGGCGACCTGGAAAGGTACGCATCTCTCCTTCCTTCAGCTTTTGATTATTGAACACTTACTTCGTGGCTTTGGCGTGATACTAGACCGAGCGGCTGAGCACGGGAACAGGGGAAGAGGACGCGGCACCCCGCGCGGAAGGGGCAGTCGCGGAGGTACGCCTATGGGTAGCCCCGGAGGCGGGCGCGGCGGGAAGGGTAGCGCTACTCCAGTCTCTCCAGGACGAAGCGGAGGAGGGTCAGCGTGGCAGGGTAATACAGCTTCCCTCTTTGCTTCGTAATCACAGGCGTTTGCTTTGGGGTTGATAGTTGCGCTCAAATGGCTCCGTGCGTCGTTTCTTGTTTCTTGGTGCCCGTATGTTTTCATACGCGGCTTTCTCTGCTTCTTTTCTCTTTCTCTTTATTACCGACTCAAAACTCTCTGCTACTCCTCACTGCTTACCATCCGTCATATCCATCCGCCTAGCCATCTCATCCATGGCTATCTCATATTTTCCATTCCACGTATATCCGACGTTTCATTCCACCACACATGGGCCATCGTCCATCTGCCCAATATTCTCACTTCACTATCCTCATTCTCACTTTCTGCTTCTGTTTTTCTGACAAATCCCCAGTGTATCTCGTGCGCGTCGTGCTGTGCTCGTGCTATTCTCCATGTATGTAGATGGGTTCATCCCGCTTGTGTGCTCAACAGTTTGTGTTTGTGTTTTTGCAGTTGCTGCTGAACCGCCAAGCGCATACTCAGCTGTACCTTGAGCGGTGCGTGTGGCCCTCAGCGGGCAACGTCGACCGACGTCACCTGCCATAATATGGACCATTGGGCAGATGGTGTGGCTCACTCTATCAGAGCGCACGATAGACCATGGTGGTCGAGCGATCCGACGGAGGGTTCGATCTCGTGCCAATGACCTGAGCTTAGCTTCCTATAAGCCGAGCACTGAGCCTGCGCTGAGTACTCAAGCCTGTGGGCATCGCTTGCTTGCTTGTTTCGTTGGGCGCTGACACCTAGCTTGGGTGAGGGGGTGTGAGGTGCGCGGTTATTGGTATCCGAGGGGCCCCGGGGTGCCAGGAGACTCATAACTGGCTTCGGCAGCCCCCAGCTTTGACCACGATGGTACTTGGCCATCGGGGATCCATATAATCCAACCGCACGATCAGATAACCAAAGCCTCGGTAAGTATATCCCGCACGAGGCGACAAGAAATACATCTAATCAAGGCCTTTCTACGATCGGTAACAATTGTACATAACCAATACATTGCTGTTGAGCTGGCCTCAAACTAGCTCAGATCTATTAGCGCATCGACGCACGAGGGCGGTGGCCCATTGCTTCGGGACCCGGTCGAATGGTACGAACCAGACGGTCGACGCGCTGGAACCTGGAATCCAGTCTTCCGGGCTCCACCATACGAGCCAGCCATCCCAGCAATACTCCGCCAAGTACTTAGTAAATATCATAATCATACTGGTCGATCGCCGATCACATCTTCGAGCTGCCAACCCCAGGACCTCGATCAAGGACCGGTGTTCAAACCTTCAAACCTTCAACCTTCAAGTAGAAGTAAAAATACAGTGTAGAAAAATCTGTATACTGATATATATCCGGACCGGGGGAGACTTTCTCCGCCCATACGCAACATATCTGCTGTTTTGAGCCAAGCCAACTCGATGGTCACGCCAACTCACGCACTTTTGGAATTTCGAGCTCAATCTTCTAGAATCGCCCCCGGCCCCCCATCACGTATCGAATGCACGCACGCATATATTTGGTACTGCATATTAGATCCCGGTATGGACGTGGATGATTCAGTGATCCGACGGTCTGACGGTTCTACGCACAGGTACGCTCGTTATATGCCGCTGCTTCCTTGCTTCCTGTTCCTCGTCCCTTTCCTCGGTCCAGTCCGACCTTCTATCCGAATGTGGATTTCGAGTCAAGTACCCAGATTGCCGGGTTTCTATCTGTTTCTATCAAGGACAGATCGGATAACCTCCCTTGGGAGGGACGTAGCACGAATCACGGGGATGCAGGATCGCCAGCCCCTATCGCGGCTTCGCGCTCGGCGTTAGCGTCGAGAGCTGGAGCGCGAATGCGAACAAGAGCGAGATGAGGCGGCGCGCGTGCAGAGCAGGTAGAGATATCCATATCCGCAATCGACCTGGACTCCGGACGAGATGGAGGGTATAGATTAAATTAAGGGCTCGAGTCGGTCACCTGTCAACCCAGAAGGAAGGAAAGTGAATCGTCAGCGCCAAGTCACTCGCAGGCCCAACAGTGATAGGAAATAGAGGATAGTCGGTAGGCGATAGGGAAAGCGCGACACACCTCCACATGCACCGACTCGAGCTTGCCGCTTCACACGGCCCGCCACCTTCTCCCGGGGAGAAACCCACGGGGGCTATAGGGGCAAGTCGACGCTGGCAAAGGCGGGATTGCTGTTTTTGAGGCGGCGGCACCATTCCTGGAACGCCTGGGGCGTGTAGCGCCATTTCGGGGGCTCACCCTCGTCGCCGAAATGCTCGAGGATGACGTCGAAATACATCCAGATCATCTCGAGTGCGAGGCTAGAGAGAGGCTTTCTGTCTTTTCGAATGACGGTGACCTGTGTTGAGAGGTGTCGGATCAGAGCTTGCTTGGAGAATATGGGCAGGAATATACTTACGGGTCCGATGCCTTGCTGCCATCTACGAAAGCGAGGTGTTAGCGTTGCCCATAGTACAGCACGAGAGAGAGGCTACCGACTCGGAGGGCGTATATCCGTGTTCAGGGTCGAGCATAAGATACGTGATGGCCTGGTTGTCGAGCCGCGTATCGGCGCTGCGGTACTGGAAATGACGGAACAGGACGAGGGGGACGCCGATCATACGGGAGATCGGAGAGAGGACGCCGGCGGACATCAACTCCTCGCAGCGGGCGAGGGAGAGGACGACCTCGCGCGGGTTGAACGGCAGCTCGTTGCCGCCCAGCAGGTCGACCGCGGGGACGTTCACGGGGATGTACGTGGGAGGCGTCTTTGCGCGTGTGGCGCGGAGGCCGGCAAGGGGGTCGCAGATGTTCTTGTGCAGCGACCAGTGCGCGTTCTGGCAGCGGGGCGACTACGCAGGGCATGGGCAGGGGTCAGCTCGGGGCGCGGAGAGGGACGGAGGGGAGACGGGACGGACGCAGTAGTAGACGGCGCGGCACTTGAAGCACCGGATGAGCGCGTCGGGGGTCGGGCCTGCCTTTCTGCAGTTGTAGCACAGGCGCGAGGAGTCGGGCGACATGGTGAGCATGCTGGTACTTGGTATGCGCGGGGCAAAGTGCTTGCTACGAGACGGGCAAGGTCCCGGGTTTTAAAGAGCGGACGGCAGAACTCCGACGCCATCGATGGACATTGGAGAGTCTGCGGCGGATGTGCATTGTGCATTGTGCTGGATGTGATGCATATGGCCCTGCCCTGCCGCTGCAGCGGTGCGTGGGCCCAGCGCACTGGGCCGCTTGCCCTCTTCGTCCAGTGGCTGTGCTCGGCGGCATGTCGCTCCCCGCGACCTCGGCTCCAAATTCTGCCCGATCCCGCAATGCCGAACGCAGCGGATCACGCACAACCTCCAGTGGCCCAAAGCACCAAGCATGCGAGTGGGCATCCCAAGCAGCTGGCAAATCTTGCAGTACATGCCGCTGTCCATCCTGGCGTGCTACTCGCTCTTTCTGCGCTGGAATTGACGGCGCCATAAGAACTATAGCCTGCTTAATATTCCCGCTAATGCCCGTGAATGGCAGCGCTCGCCCCAAATGTTCAAAACCGAATGATGCGTTGCTGGCCGGAGACAGAATCGCGGAATTCAAGCTGCAAGTACGCGAGTCCATCATCCCACCCACACCCCACCAGCCCTTGTTCCGGAATTGTGGGATTGTCTGACTCCCACGCTCTCTTGCCGTCTCTTGTGCAGCTTTTGGGGAAGGCTCGAAGTCTTCAAATCCGTGCCTACTATTCATCAAAACCCCTGGCGTACTCGTGCCCTCCTCTTTTTGTCGCTGATTTATCTATATTGGTTTCTCAATCCCACTCCGATGCACGAGTGTCTGCTCCGTCGCCTTCCGAATAACGTCCACCCGTGTCCCGAGGCCCGGGCTACGGCAATCCCGAGGACTTTAGCCGAACATGCTTCTTGGTCTGTACTTTGCAATTCCGCAACTCCACGATCTCACATGATCTCATGCAATCTCGATACTCGGCCCTCGGTCCTTGGTCCTCTGCGAGCTTTAAATTTGGCCCCGATCAAATCTCACGTCCGGACCTGGGCTTTAAGGATGCGCACCTTGGCCTAGATAATATCTGCCCCGTGGCCTAATTGGTTAAGGCGTCCGACTGTTAGGACATCCGTAAATCGTCATCGGGAGATTGAGAGTTCAATCCTCTCCGGGGCAGTTCATTTTTGCTCTGCTCCCGCATGCATAGGAGCTCGATATTTCCAGTCTGAAACGCGGGATACCTTTTAAAGTTTTATTCCCAATAAATGCATTTACATAGCACGCCGACGGGACATTCACGCAGGTTTCATTTTCCATCAATTTAAGACCTGAACAAAATATGAGGCTTGATGCAAAATGGGCCGGAGAGGATTGAACTCTCAATCAGATCGGGTCGACACTACGGCCGACAGCATCACACCAACCTTTGCAAGGGCCATGGTTGAGCCATCGCCACTTCAAAGTTCAAAGTTGAAAAGTAGCCGGGCACGGATATCTCGACAGCTCTTCGGAGTTTGCTGAAGCCCGGAGGCCTAATGAATGCACCCACGCCGACGAAACATTGATCTCCCTGACTACTTTCCAGGCCCTCGCGAGTCGCGCTTTGCAAAGACTAGTGGCTTCAACAGTTCACATTGATGTGCCCAGCGCCGTCGGCCGAGGCACCAACCCGATCACGGTTACTCTGCAAGTGAATGACGCACAAAATCGATCGTGGTCCCATAACTCAGATCTGGCTCAAGAGCAGACTAGCAGAGCCCAAGCCCGAGTCGAGAGTCGAAGCGCGCGCGGAGATGAGGCGTCCGCGCACCGATCTCGATTGTCCTGAAGTTTGAAATTCGAAGCTTGAACCGGCCAAAGCCGAATGAATGAGCGCGTCGATCCTTTAAAAGAAATGACGCATTGATGTAAACATTTCCGCTCCGAACGCGCCACTCGGAGCATCGACTGCACAAATACACCAAGTAGGTGTAGACAAGTGCGAGAGGGCACTGAGTACCGAACGTCGGCCGCTGAATTGTGGATTTAAAGCGGTAGCTCGACATGGCTATAACTTGGATCATTCTCCTTTTCCCGCCTGCACCATTCTTGGAACGCCTTGGGCGCATAGCGCCACCGCGGGACCTCTCCCTCGTCGCCAAAGTGCTCCAGGATGAGGTCAAAGTACATCCAGATCATTTGCAGCGCGGGGACGGATAGGGGTCTTCGATCTTCGCGTATGACTGTGACCTATGATGGGGGGGAGGTCAGTATTAGGAGTTTTAGATGCGGTGGGGGGGACTTGCGGGTCCGACGGATTGCTGCCACCTATAAATCGCGTTAATCAGCTATCGAAACGAAGATCGAAGCGGTGGGAATGGCTACGCACGAGTATGGCGCGAGACCGCTCTCAGGATCGATCATCAGGTACGTCGCCGCCTGGTTATCATGCTGCGAGCTCTCCTGCGCGTGACGTATGATCACCAGCGGCACGCCTATCAGCCTCGAAACTGGGGACACGACCCCCCGTTCAGCCATTTGATCGCACTGTGCGCGTGAGAGGGTAACGGCGCGCGGCGTGAATGGAGCGCCGGACCCGCCCAGTAGCTCTACAGCAGACACGTGATCGAGCGCTGCCTCAGAGGGGGGCGGCGTGCGGGGCTGGGCTTGTTGGGCGTGCAGGCTCGCGAGCGCGCCGCAGGTTTTTTTGTGTGAGGGCCAGTGGGTTGTTTGGCAGGTCTGGGACTGCGGGTACCATATGGCGAATATATTAGCGATTATTGTAGTAGCGGAAGTTATGGGTGAGACAAACGCAGTAGTAGACAGCCCGGCATTTGCTGCATCGCAGCAGCGTGGTGGAGGCGGAGCCCTGCTTGCCGCAGGCCTCGCATACCCGTGTAGAATCCTCAGACATGTGGGTGGCTGCCTAGTATGAATAAATACATTAGCGGTGGGACATGCGTGGATGCAAGAAGAAACCAACCGTTGTGGTGGGAGGTTGAAAGTGGCGCAAGTAAATGATGATCGATGCGGGGATTATGTACTCTACACGATCGCAAGAACGCTATGGTTTCAGAGCGCAGCGCAATTGGACGCAAGGCGAGGGTTCAAAACGGCGCAAGGTGGCACAATATAGCAGCAACAGTTGGATCCGGACTTGAAGGCCATGAGTCGCGTAACACAGCACAAAGCACAAAGCACTTACGGGTACCCACAAGTACTATTGTTCAGACGCAAAAAATCCGAATCGATCCAATCAGCAGTACGCCTGCTGAGGCACGGTGATAAACCGACCGCGGAACGCTCAGCGAGGCCCCCAATAGAGTTCACGGCCGTTATATTCCCGGACTCCTGAAGCTGCGTGCCCGCCGACTACATCGATATCAGTCAGCAGGTTCCATTCTTCGTCTGGTGTCGAGAGCCTCCGGTCGTTTTGATACGAGATTACTTTGTTCATGGAATGATGGAGTTGTTTCGAGGTCTTATCTTGGCGAGTGATTTGGTGTTGGTCGCTGATCTGGGCATTATGTAACGTCGAAGAGCCAATGTTGATTTCGTTGCATCCGGGGTTGCCTCATCTCGCCTCCGAGCCCTAGAGAGATCGGGACGTGTAAATTTCCGCTGCTCTCCTCGAGCAGGTAAGCGTTCCCCGGGCCCAATATCCAAAGCTCCCCCAAAATCTCCGGCATCGTTCCATTGGAATCAATCAACCGGCCTCGATAATGCCAGATACCCTGCTCATTACTTCAACTTTTACTTGCTGCAACTCTGCGCCACTGCTACGGACCTACTTGCGCCGCTTGGCTCGAAATATCGGATGGCCAACACTTAGCACCTGCAGAGCCGAATACGGCTGTCTCCGCAGAGGCCGTGGCACGCTCTAGAAAACGGACCAACTAATCCCTAAGGGCCAGATTGACACTGGTTGATAGCGGCAGGGATTTGAGCTGCTTTGCTTTTGGCTTGTTTTCTACGGGGCATACATGTGGGAGGCAGCCAAAGTAGAAAATCTCTCGATTCAGGTAAGTAATATCGACAGAGCGGACTCGGCGCAACCGCTGTTACTCGATATATCCGCACCATAGTCGAAAATTCCACGACTATGCCTATCTCGGGTAGCCCTGCTTCAAACTGGGTTTGTATTTACCTGAGCTGGGATGTTGGCGTGCTTTGACTACGCTCCCTGGAACGCTTCTCAGACGAGCCACCGTTTTCCGGAACAAATTCGACAAACTAAACGTTTCTGCGGTCGATTTTCTTATTTTAATCACTCTCTGCGCAGGGGCACTCGATGTTTCGGCTCTTTTCAGCTGTGGCTTCTGTCTGCGCATGGCGCACTTACACAAGCTTCAAGGGACGCAACATGTCTCCGAGATCATTCATGTTCTTATTTTATAAGCTCTCCCCATGATATCCCGGGACCAAGGGCGGCTCAAGGGCAATACCAAGAGTCGACACTGACAGAATTGAAAACGAAATTGATTTCGGCACGCCACGGGGCAACGCTCCGCCGCGGCCGCTCTCCTGCCGAAATTCCTGCACCTTATTCCGTCCATCTATTCATTGATACTCTGACAATGTAGACTCCTGCAGCCTGCGAGCTTCCACCTACAAGCTTACCCACAAATTATTGATAGTGCTGCATATCGAACTTTGGACGTTTTGTTCCTCTCCTTTCAGCGCTCGCAACTTGCGCGACTGTCATACGGGATGCGAACTATGCCTCAAATGTGTATATTCATTTTGCTGGGTGGCACTATGGGCTACTAGTACTATCAGCGGGCGGGTTACCGATCATTGTCTGGATCTTCAGCCGCTAAATTCCAAAGCGCGATCCGGGAAGTAGTGGTTCAAGTATCCGTCTCCGCCTCCGCTCACCTCTGGGTCAGGATCATGTTCAGGTGTGAATCCTTTTCTCTGATCTCACTCTCGGTCTCAAAGAGCCCTTATGACACCTATTAAACGATGCAACGCCTTGAACTGAACGCTCAGTTTTCGAGTCTCGGATCTATTAACCTCATTCATTTTTCGCAATCCGGGGGTTCTCAGAATCAGTAACTGGCTGTCAAACGGACTGGGCGCCTTCTCTTTAATGAAACGTCATGGTCCATTGAGTCATACCTGCAACCCAGAAACCATTACCATGTCACCCTGCTGTCCCGTTGCTTACTGCTTACACTAGCCAAGATCAGGGACCCTGGATCGACGTCTCAATCTTCGGTATATGCTTCGCCTTTGGGAAGCCACTGGTTACCAGTACGTGTCGGAACCGATACTATCACTGGGGTTTTCTGTCTCTCTAGCCCCTTCGGGCTCGGGTCGAGGGAAGGGAGATGGGCAGGGTGCAGGGGCGGGTTGGTGGTAGTTGAGTACTGGATATGAATCACCAATCTATCTCTGAACGCACGCACGCCATGCCACCAGCTTATGCTGTTAAAGGTGCTATCTATCTCTGTTGGGGGCGCCCCGTAAACAAAACACGCGGGTGCGAGAAGCTGAAGTCAGGAGGCTCGTCTTATGCGTATGGGTATAGGTGAGTGGCCCTGGCTATTAGGGAGGGGACTATATTAATACTGATGCTGTAACACTCGACCTTGTTGAAGTTCCTCTTCATCGGAATAGTAGACGCGGGGACGACCTGACCGTAATTATGGCAGATTTATGCGTGTCCTCCCACCGCTACCCCGAGGCGGCGGCGAGGCCTGCCGCCTGATCCGTCTGGTGAATCCACAAAACCTAAGTTTGTCGGTGTCTGCCGTTGACTCAAACCACTGGGAGGTGCTGCTATCCATTTTATTTAGCAGTCCCCGGTCGGACAGTCGGTAAAGCAAACGATATGTCTAACATATAACAATTCGCCCAGGATCTCCGACCCCTTCCCCGTGAGCGTCGATAGCGCACGGCGATTACCACTCCTTGCCAGGAGGAAGGCACGACGGACTCGGGAATTAAAGTGGCCTCTGCGGCCTCTTCAGCGGCCAGGCAGAGTGTAGCCGACGCCGACGCCGGACTCAGGCTTCAAGCCTCAAGCGATATTCATATGGCTAAAGTAAAGCATGGGGGTCAGATCGCGTCGATCGTGACCCGGCGCAGCGCCACTGCGGTAATATGCTCCCCGTCGTGTTCTGCAACGGGGAGAGAGCGGAGGGTGACCGCTCATTTTAGACTCTCTATTGTAATCGATATCAGGAAATCGTA